ACAATGCATGTGGCAAGCCATCAACTTGAAGGAGAGAGAGAACAGCGGAGACTCCCTGTCTCTACATGCAATGCATGTGGCAAGCCGTCAACTTGAAGGAGAAGAGTACAGCTGAGACTCGCTGTCTCTACATGCAATGCACGTGGCAAGCCGTCAACTTGAAGGAGAAGAGTACAGCGGTGACTCCCTGTCTCTGCAGGCAGTGTATAGCTGGAGGGCCTATTGGACACTGGCTGGAGTGATGAAGGTTGGCGACAGAGCCCCCGGCTGAGCTGGTGGCTTTGGTGTGACGAGTGCACCCAAGCATGGTACAACCCACTTCTTAAATGTATGTGCACCCAGAAAATAATAAAAGGGCCATTACTAACCGGTCATCTTAACAAGAATACTGGGTACAAAACACAATACATAGGGTCTGCTGCAGAATAGGTTAGACTTTAAATACCACAAATGTCTCAAGGAAGAGTTAAATAAAAACAGCCGGCAAATTATAAAGGAAGAAATGTCCCATCTGTAACAAAAGAGCTTCCCCTTACATAAGCCTACTATCCTAAAAGAAGAAAACATTATAAAAAGGCGTAAGGCCTGTACCACCCCTCGGAGTAACATCACATTCTTGAATCAGGGAATTATTACTGAAATGCGGATATATTATTGCATATACCTTTACACAACGTACTCTTCGCCGAGTTTTCATTTCACTGGACGCTCTGACCCGGCTTCCGACTAGTACTCGTTAGACCGAACCGTGCATATGTTTACCGTGCCAGTCGTTCCAGCGCCTAGGTTACGGGATGACCAGTCCAGCTGAGGAAAGGGTAATGCGAATCCGCAAGAAGCACCTGGCTCCCTCGCCCCACAGTGCTTAAGCAAGGAATGTTGTTGGTTAATCACACGAACGGCCTTATATATAAAACATGAATTTCGAAAAAGAACTTTTATGATAATACCACTAGGAATTATAACACCTGTTAAGAAACTCTAGGACACAATGGTAATATCTGAAGAGACTAACACAACAGTAATATGAATGTGAACTGGGTGTAGTGTGGCTGAAAGTCAGGCTGATGTTGATTTTGACCTTCTACACGAATGTGTAGTTTTGAATTTTTTGCTGATAAATCAAAGCTGGATCTTTTGATCGGGTATCATAGTGATTAGAAGATGTAGTAATGTGGAATAGACGACTTGTGTAACTCGCTGTCCAATCGTCGCTGTTTTATAAACTGCGACGATTGGACTGTGTCTTTCCATGGAAAGGCCGGACAGAGCCGTTGGTGTGTGAGTGTTCCCTCGACTGCTCTCCACACATCCCGTTTCGTGCTAAAGAACTACAACTATTTTGAGGTCTAACACTAAGACGTCCAAGAGATCCAGTCTTCCAAGGCAAGCAGTGTCTTGGATACAGTCGTTAACATTTTTCAACATCCAGCAAGTCTGATTGCTAATCATCATTTTCATTCCTGCCATTACCTGAACTTTTCACCAGACGCTATATTTCCTCTTGTTATTCTACAATGGTTCCTTTCGTCTCTCTTACCTAATAATAGACTTGACCTATTGAAGGTGGACACGTCACAGTTGGTTATGTTCACAATCCAAATTGAATTTTTTCACTTCCGTCCTTACCCCCTCAACGGCTTCTGCTGAAATAGCACCGGCATGCAGTCTACCTATCCCAGAGATGCCTCCTGTAACTGTAAACCT